TATCTGGAAAGAAGGTTGGAAAGAGAGATTGTTTTAGAAGAGTTGAGTCAGAGGAACTCCATTTTTGCATCATGCTTATGATGAATAAATATGAGGTATTCGGCAAATCATATATACTAAGATGTGTAAGTTTCTTGATAAAGATTCCAAAGGCAAGAATGTCTATCTACTCTTACGGTAAAAAGGAACAAGAGAATCGGAAGGTAGATACAAGTTTCAGCAAGTAAAAGAAGGAAGGTGAAGAAGGGTACGAGGCGCCTAGTTAATAAAGGTTAACAATGTTTATAATTGAGGCGGAGGAACATAAGCTTTTTGAATTATATTCAAAAGTAACAGAGGTATATACAACTGGTCGTACCCCTTCCAGATATGCCCTATGGGGGTTAACAAAAGTAGTATAAGAAGATATGATGGATGAATTGATTGTGTCAGTTGACATTTTTGAAGGATATTGCAAATATGCTAATAGATCTCTTTATGAGACACCTCGATGGTGCACTCTAAAATAGTGTAGCCAGATATGAGCACTACAAAGACATGCACTATAAGCCTTGAAGGATAAATATTACCTTAGTGTTACTCGTGTCCCTAGTAAAGCGAGAACGTTAAGCAACTTGAAGAGCCACTGGATGGAGCAAAGGAAAGCTAAAAGTGAAGGAATGTCATATTGAAGTTTTCACAAGAAAAGGGATATGCAGAAATATTAGCAGAATAATGAGAAGAGGGATAAGAAAGCATTATGAATATGGTGTGATACATGGATAAAACGGTAGAGTGTTTCAGAACCTATAGTCAAATGAAGAAAGAGACGAAAGATAATGGGCCTTAAGACAACGATAAAGTACAGTCCATAAGGTTATATCCTCATTTCGAGAAATAAGTTCGTGACTCCAACGTGACTACCAGAGGGGAGAGTTAACCCCCAGAGTACTAGAAATCAGTATGGACTGGTAAATAAGATAAACTAAATATGAATTAGGGACTGAATGATTGGAAAGTACTCGGCATCATGGGAATTTCAGATTTCGTTCCGGCTGTAATAGAATGAACCACAGAAGAAGATTCACGATGAATTCAAAGAATAGTCATTCAGGGAGACGCTTCCCTAGAGCAAGCAATATGAGCAAAGTTAAGCTTAAGAGACTGTATGTGCCAGTTACGCGAAGTGTCACCCTTGCGAGTAAGGGAATTTGTCGTCCTTGGTATAGAAGAATTGCCGCAAGGCGAGTAAGGATCATTGATGTTGAGAAACGACGCCAAAGATGAGGAGGTAAAACATCTATAGGTAGATCCTCGTGGCTTTAGCTGTTAGTACACCCCTAAAGGGGGGAATTCAGAGTAATGTGGCATTAAGTCAGAATTAAGTAGTTCTAGCGACCATGAAATGGTAAAGGAAGAATGTGATAAATAAAAGAGGAATAAGATGGCACTTATCCAAATCTTACAGATACACTACGATTCAAGAATATTGTGCAAGCACGACGTCAAGGAGAGGAATTAAAGGTTCCTGCCCAAGCTGTTATTAATAAATAAGGAGCCAGTACAAGACATAAGTTAAAACAAAGTAAATAACCCAAGAAAGATTATGAGGAATATTGATATGAGAATGGGACAATGAGTAGTTAGTAATTGGTCAAGAAGATCTCAGTTATGGCTAAACAGGAGGTTACATATGAGTCATCAGATCATGTAAGATAAACATAGTAGAACCCAACATGGAGAATTCAACCTCAGAGAATATCATTATAATACTTGAGATATATTCAAACAAGAGTCGGGGTAGTTAAAGGTATCGTATGAGTGTTACGGGGATAAAAAAAAGTGCCACTGGGAAGGCAATCAAAATATCAGTTCAGAAGCAACCATATAAGCACAAGGGCATGGAAGTAAGCAACTACAGATGATTATAGGCAATTAAGGACATCAGAAAAGGTTTGTAATAAGCTCACAGTTTTACGAGAGTTAAGGGTTCTCCCTAAGTACTACAACGAAAGATTAGCTAAAGAGAAAAGAAAGAAGGTTTCAACCTAAGCACAACGACCGAAAGATGAAATGGTCGTATAACAATAATCTCGCAACAATATTGTAAGCATTACAAAGGAAAGTGGCACCTATCGTGGCTAATAAACGGGAAGTAAGAATTAAAAGTAATATTCGAGACCATATAAGTTGTATGAAAACTCTAGCAAGTGTAGACACTAAGATAAGCTAAGTATGGACGCAAAAAGGGGCAGAAAGACCAGAAAAAATAATTGCACACGTTTAAAGAAAGCTGAGATGAAACGAAAAGAATTATTCAATCAATGATCCTGAGTTACTACGTTATGGATATACTCAAGAATTTGGAGCATTATCCAGGCAACATACTTATTGATAATCATACAGCCATAGAAGACTCTGATATAAGTTAAAAGAAAGAATTGAGCCCAGGGCATAGACAAAAGATTGAATTGTTAGAAGATTGCACCATGGATTTTCCATAACGCCCATGAAAGGCTAAGGTAATAAGTGATACCATGAGCCACAGATCGGAAGATAGCTTAAGCCTACGTAGAGGTTGATCAGAAGGAAGAGGAAACTAAAGAATTACATCACCCAAGTAAATCAGGAGTCTGGTTATTAGACCTAGAAAAATTATAGAAGTTTGTGCTTGAGAACATGACAGAATCACTCTTAATATCAGATGTTCAAGAGAAATAACACAACAACCATAATTTATAATGGCTCTACAAGGAAGCCAGTTAGAAGGAGTACCAGCCTCATAAGAAGTCAGTACGAAGCTCCTACTGGATTGTGTATGTACCAGAGGTGCGAGTATTATAATAGAGTTTCAAGTTTTGGACGTGAATTACACCTAGGTGGAAGGGAGGTCAGGAAAGAGATAGAAGATACGATGCGAGATTTTAAGGTAAGTAAGGTAATGGTGAACAACGTACGATATACTCAAAGGCAGAAGATCGTGAATAGTCCATACTTTGGATAGAAGGCTATAAGCACGGGGATCCAATAACCAGGAATGATAGCGGCATCGTCGGCGACATGTCTTCCAGCCTATGGTTTCTAAGTACTGAGAGATATAGTTAAGAGAGTAGAGAAAAGTTGGAGGGTGTGATGTCTCGCTTGACGTTCCAGAATAACATAAGGAAATCTATGGTGCAAGCAAGTTGAAGGAAAGTTGCGAGTAGTATAAATGGATATGTATAGGTCGCAAGTTAAAGTATTGCAAAGCGACAAAGTTTTAAGGAAACATGAGTAAGGATGAGGAAAGACAAGTGAAAAGGTGACGAGAATGAATAAGTCTTTAGGATTAAGCCCATGAAAACAAGAAGGGTAGATAGTTTCTCTATGTTATAGTAAGCTCAGTATGGCCTGAATGGACTCAAAGGAGTTACTCTTTATAAGTAGCATTTAGAAGAAATGGAATGCTGCCCTAATAGTAGAATAAAAGTGTAATTATGATAGATAAAGGACGATGTTTGGGCCTTTAATTGAGTAATAATTTAAAAAAAAAAAAGAAAAAAGAAAAGGGATTCATGAATTGTACGAGATTAAAATACCCACCTTGGGATGCTATAGAATGCGGTTATTGCATTACAGCATCGACGCTAAGTGGATCAGAAAAATTACTTCGAATATTCCTTGATGTAACGTAAGCCCTAGAGTCAAAATCTTACATAAGAAGTTTCAAGTTATCAGTAGTATATTGTAGATCAATATTGAGGTGAATCAACAATGGATGGACAAAAGTCACAAAGTATGAGATGAGATTAGGCCATCATTCTAAAGATGAGCAGTAACGAGGAAGCATTAAAGGATTTAATTTATACACTTGAAATAAGCAACGAGAGTAAGCTGGGATTTGGTAGCAAACCTCAGCAACGATAAATTAAAGTAAGAGTTATGGCAGTAAATTCATACGGTTGGCTAAACAGAACTATGCGATAAGATATAGCAATATTCGTGAATTCAACAAAGTACCCAGCGAACAACTTCAGTACACTGATAAATGCCCAAAGGAACATCTTTATCAAGATCTACATATGAAACCTAGATATTGGGCACACTTACAAGGTCAAAATCGTACAGGATGCATAATGGAAGGTAGAAACAATTACGAGATTGGAAGGATTCCGACTACAGGTTGTGGTGTGATAAGGAAGCCTAAGGGGGGAGTGACCTGAACTTTGGATTTATTCACAGAACAACTGCCTAAATGGCAAGGAAAGTATTGAGGTATTCACAAGAGCTATAAGTTATGAAAATGATAAGGGCATCAGTCAACATTCGAGGACGAATGTTCCAAAAGGGGGAATAATGTTACGCCCCGCAATATTACATCGATATCACGTTTCACAATATTAAGTTACGACAATGTTGCACCCTGAAGTATTAAACGTGGAATTTGTCGTAAGGTAATTGACATCAGTCCAAGTAAAAGATTATTTGGAGGTTATAAGGATTATGCTATTTCACAAGTGATTAGTAAATTCGTGAAGGTGAGAAGGGAAGCAAGTCGAAGAAAATGAATTTCGTTAAAATATTTAAGAGACTAAATATGCTCAGGGTTATATTTGAGGGACCAAAATAGACATACCCTCAAAGATAAGAGACAATATTGGCCAAAAACTCTTCAAGAGCTCATGATAATTTTCAAATTTACAAAACCTTTCTATTAAAATATTAATGTAACAAGTATTTTTCAATAATTCGAACTACACATTATAATACTTTATAGTTCATATCGACTAAATTTGACCATTCTGTTTACTTATACGTAAACTAATTAATGTAAGGGAAGTAAAATTCTTTATGTAAAAATAAGAACATCCTTATATAACAATGCTTCACTATAAAAGTTAAATTTTTTCGGAACCACATATTATGTTTTGTTATAATATATGTTCTCTATAATAACAATTCACTATAATATTCAAAAATATCTTAAAGAAATAAGGAGAGGTTTGAGGAAATATATGTAATCTGATCCAAAAGGCCTATAACACTTAAAACCCGGGGAAACAACTGTGACTACTAAACTGCCACCAGCTGAAGAAATATAGCTACGGAAAAAGACAATGAGAATCTTTTAAACTGCCATCAACTTATAAGTTCCCCGTTCAACTGTTCCAAAAGTCCATAAAGATTCTTGAATCCTCGGGCGCAAGGCTTTTTGGGACTTTCTAGTTTCTAAGTAAAATCGATGTCAGCTTCTTGTGCTACGGCTGGGACAGAATGGTTGAATCCGACAGGTAACAGGTTTGCTGTACCTGGAAGAAGTAATCAGTTCAGTAAGCTTTTTGTTCAATCTTACAACAGTTTCTTGATTACTATGTACAACTCATTGATGTTGAGTTTTGATCTCTCTCTTTCCCTTTTCTTTTGGAAGAAGGGGGCAGATGGGAATTAAATAGAAGGAATTTTGCTATTAATGGAATTGTTGCTACTGGTGCTTCAGTTATGCCCCCTTCTGTAGTTGCTGAATCCTCTCAAGGTCAGTTCATCACCCGTTTGCAGCAATTATGAGAATTACTGCTTTGTTTTCCTTCTTTTGGGGAAGGGTTGCTTACTTTTGGAAATACTTGACAAAGAAATGATAATATAGGCTTGCAGCAATTACCATTTAAACCAGAGGGTTACAACTACTGGACATGGCGAGGCCACAAAATTCATTATGTAGAGGAAGGGGAAGGGTTTCCAGTTGTTCTGATTCACGGATTTGGTACTTCTGCTTTCCATTGGAGGTAATTCTGTCTCTGTGTTTGTATGGCATTGAGTTCATAAGATTTAGTGGGATAGAGTTGACATGGTGTTCACAAGATTCAGTGGGATTATATTCTTCCTTTTTATTTGATATACATTTGTTCTCTAACAAAATTGCAAAAGAACTCTTCCTTGTCACTCCTAAAATGGGATTTTGCTAGTATTGATCTTTATTAAGGCAAAAAGAAAAGGGCAGACCGGTGCACAAAGCATCCCGCATTCACGTAGGGTCCAGGAAAGGCCGCACCCCGGGGTTGTGATACATGCAATCTACCCTGATGCAAGCATCAATGGCTGATTACGCGGCTCGAACCCATGTCCTATTGATCTTTATTAAGGAATTCCATTTTTTATGTGATGCTCATACATTGTCCATTATTTGCTACAAAGACAGATAATATACCAGTTGGTGTAGCTTGCATATGCAAATCCTTTTGGCGTTGTACTATTTCTTCAAATCTCCAGAAACTATTTTCTTTCCTTTTTCAGGTATAACATACCTGAGCTGGCTAAAAATTACAAGGTGTATGCTCTGGATTTGCTCGGATTTGGCTGGAGTGAGAAGGCACAAATAGACTATGATGCCTTGATTTGGAGAGACCAGCTTGTCGACTTCTTAAAGGAGATAGTTAAACAACACACAGTTTTAGTAGGGAACGGGTGAGTTCACTCATTTAGCATTGCATGAATCTCCAAGATGCACTTTTAACTGTACTGTTTCAGTAACATATACTATTGGATTGAATTCAATTATGATGTCTGTTGTATTATTTAACAGTCTTGGAGGATTTACTACATTGTTAGCAGCAGCAGAACTGCCAGCTGAGCAAGTCAAGGGGGTTACCTTGTTAAATAGTGCAGGACAATTTGGGGATGACATTACTACAACTGACACAAGTGAAGAGACAGCCTTAAGAAAGTTCATTGTAAGGCCAGTAGAGGAAATCTTTCAACGTGTTGTCGTCGGATTGGCATTTTGGCTATCCATGCGACCAGCTCAAATTGAAGCTCAGCTGAAGAGTGGTGTATGTTGTTTCCTAGCTAAATTTTCTTCTACCAACTTTTTAAAATGAATGTTGATTTTTTGCTTTGCTTGCATATGCAAATTATGCACTAGTGCTCTTACCTTTTTGCTTGTGCACATACGTGTCCTAACTCAGAGAATCTGTAAGTAGTAATAGCTGTTAGCTTTTTTTGCTCTTTTTTTGATATGGTAAACTGAGTCCAAATAGATAAGCAAACAAAAGAAGCATTTGGTAGTTGATCGATATGTAAGACCGACTAACACATTAGTTCTTGCAGAAACTAAGATTCATCAGTTTTCGAATTGACCATTGACTCTTTTAATTCTTCTAAATTACTCCCTCTGACCCAATTTATCTCTCTTTTATCATTTTTCTTAAGTCAAAAAGTTTCACTTCACGTAATTTTCTTAACTTGTCAAAAAGATTTGAAATACTGAAGTTGTTTGTTGTGGTTCATGTGATCTAGGTTCCAAACTCTAAGTTCATTTCATAGAAGATGACATTTAGCCAACGCCGTATCTCACTCTTGGAATAGGAAAGCTGACTTTCTAAAAGTGAAAATCGACAATCATAGATGGAGCGAGAAATAGTTCATGGTTGCTTCCATGTGAGGCTGTTTTCTAATATTGTTTTCTTGGCTTCAAATTTGAAACTTTCGCAGGATGATGCATCAGAAACGGAAGGGTTGTTTCTTCATTTTGCATTTCATTTGTTATTTAGTCACCCACTGACAATCTTCAGGAACTATTAGCAGACAGAAGAACTAACTTTCTAGATGTTTGTCTCTTGAAGGTCTATAGAAACCATTCGAATGTGGATGATTACCTCCTCAATTCAATTGCTATTCCTGCTGCTGATCCAAATGCAGGGGAAGTTTATTACCGGTATGAATGCAGCCAAAGCCTATAGGTTTTTGCCTCCGTTTTGGCAGCTAAAAGAGCATTACTTTGTTTCCCTTGGAAGAAGCGGAAGTATTACTAGAAATTTTGCAACATTTCAATGGAATATTAGTCTAAAATCTTACTCCTGTATAAATTTCATCATCATTCTTATCGAAGTCCTTGACTCCATGATTCAGACCTGTATGATGAATTTGTGTTTTGAAATTTAAACTGAGATTCTTCGGGCTTTATAAGTGAATGCTGAAAGAGTTGCAGATTAGTCAAAGTTCAAAGACAATGTTGAGCTACTAACATTCAGAAGTGTACAAAATAGACTTACTACATCTACTTTATCACGCCATTTTACTCCATAATTAGGGGATCATTTTGCCTAGTGGTTTGATACATCAAACTTACTTTTAAGTTCCATCATTATATATATCCTATCCTATGTAGCCTGATAAGTATGTGACCAGCACCAGATTTAGGTTGTTTGTAATGTCAGTTCTTTTAGCTTTCATTTCATGCAAAAGTTCCTACTGCTTTTTGTCTATCAAAAGTTTAGGTTGAGACAGTCAGCTAACGTTCTCTACTTTGCATTCTGCAGACTATTAAGACAACTTATATCGAACCCGAGAAAGTATACACTTGAGAGTGTGTTGAGCCAACTCTCTTGCCGATTGTTGTTGTTGTGGGGTGACCTAGACCCTTGGGTTGATCATGCAAAGGCAAATCGAATTAAGGAGTTCTACCCAAACACATCGCTTGTAAACTTGCAGGCAGGGCATTACCCCCACGACGAAGTTCCACTACTAGTGAATAAAGCTTTATTAGATTGGTTATCAACCTTGGGGTTGTCAGAACCTTCTCTTCGAACAGTGCCAGAAATTTAGCCTCATTGCTAACGTATGCACGACGTATGTTGTTATTGAAGTGTACAGCCCTCTGACAAACAAGGCGGAATACATCCGGAGATACTTAAAGTTGGCACCGTTTTTCATTTAAACACTTAAACTGAAGAGCACTTATACTACACTAAACTTGTTCCAATTAGGCACTTTTTTAACAATTAACCAAACTTAAAAAGTGTGTGCAATGACTCGCCGCTAATGTGGCGAATGACAAATAAAAAAAAAAAGGATATATATCATTTTGAGTTATAAAAGAAAGAAAGAAAAAACTATTTTAAAATCTATTTAGTAAACATAATAAAATAAACTTAATTTTCACTCAATCACAAAATGACACATTATTAACAAAAGAAAAGACAAAAAAAGGACACATTGGTGTTCTTGAAATCATTGTTCTTGGTGTTCTTTAGTATCTTCATGTCAATTCTTGTTCCAACCACGATTTTAATCCAAAATTTCAAGAGAAACTCCTCCAAATTTGTTATAACTTCAACTAAAGATTCCCTACCAAGACTCGAAGACAACTCCAATATTAATTTCTCAATTTTTCATCAAATCAAGTAACCCATTTTAAACCTTCAAGCTTTATAAAGACCTCATTAATGGTGTTTTGATTTGAAATGAAGAACTCGGACTCGTTTCTTGGGAGGGCTGCTCCTGGAGAAGAGTGACGGCTGGAGATGGGTGGGGTGAAGAAGAAGGGTAAGGCGATGGGGGTTAGAGAGGAGGGTGGCAGAGGATTTGGTGGTGAGGAAGGGGGAGCTTGGCGGCGGCTGGTTGTTTGGAGAAGGGGCTAGCGACTGCTTTTTTGTGTGAAGAAGAAGGGTTGGTTCAAACTTTCGAGCTAAATCAATGGTGGAGGCACAACAATGGGGAAAGTGGAGGAGGCAATGGTGGTGAACATAAAGAAGAAGAAGAAGAAAGAAATAAAAAAGACAAAAAAAAAGAAGAAAAAATCTATTTTTTGGGCTCTTCATGCGCCTATATTGGGTGAAACACTTACTCTATGTGCTAGCTCAGCAAGAAGTGCGTAATTGGAACAAAGTTTATATAATATACGTGCTCATTAGGAACACCCATAAGTTCAAATGTCTAAATAAAAATTCGTACCAACTTCAAGCGTCTCCAGATATATTCCGCCGACAAATAATGAAGTCAGTTTGGTTCAAAGAAGTTCATGTGTACCCTTTACTGTTTCTATTCCTTAATTTGTGTAACTTGTGTATGAGTTTTCAAAGCTCTTGTTTTTCTTCTAAATCATTTTTTCTCCCCTAGTTCAGTGACTTCGATAAGAATGATGTCAAGGGTACACTTGATAGACTGTAACGTTTTCATGTCAAGTGCTCTCATCTCTCAATAAGACAGGGTAGACTGTAACATTTTCTATCAGGCAGAGTTCTATGCTTCGCGAACACGAAGTTCCTACTGCTGGTTCTCTTCCCACTACATAATGTACATCGGAAGGAAAATGAGTTCATTTTTTTTATGATTGAAAGATTGAACTTGAGTTTCGATAGTAGGCTATTCAATGAACTTATTCTACCCAACAGGTCGTATATTATTTTCAATATATCGGATAGACCATTTTGGGAACGTTGAATGCCAAAGTCACTGAATTAGTAAGTCTTAAATACTGAACTATGACTTTGTTAATTTCAGTGATTTCTCTTTTCCAGAAAAGACTTTTCCGCTCGCTTCAAAAGTCATTGTGACAACAGAGTCGAGCATTTCAGACTTCAGATATTGTTCTAACCAAACTGATAATGTACAATTGAAAATTTTCTACGATATCACATTAGTAGAATATTCAATTGTGATAGTTGCAGATAAGATACTTCATATGCCACAGTTTGTGTAACACTTTTAAAAAAAAATATATATATATTCCAAAAAAGGAACTGACATATTCCGTATAGTACGGAAAAGCATGACGCAAGGAATAGTAACTTTCCTTGTTCCAAACGCCAAAGAAGAGGCACTAAAGCTAAAAACGGGTGGTTGCCCAATTCATCCCCCGCTACAAATAACAGCACCTGTAACCTACTACGACTCGCAAAATTCCCATTCATGGAAGCCTCTGTGAGACTACTCACTTGTTCAAATCGCCACCATCTCCCCACTTCTCTCTTCCTCAAACTCAATCACAAGCCCCTTCCTTTATCACCCTCTTCATTTCCCACCCCTTCACTTTCCTTATCTCGCAAAAACGCCCCCCACATTTTCTTGTCTCATCGCAATTTCTCCTCCAATTCGTCCTTCCCACTTTCACCTCCATTTAGGTTTTCAAATCCTCTCTTCAGTACATCACAATTCTTCAATCCCATCTTATCCAGCAATCGTTTTGCCCGTATAGTATCGGCTCCGCAAGACGGTCTATTCAATTGGCATTTTGCTGCAGGCGGCGAAAATGGTAGTGAAATTGTGGTGCCGCCGAAAGAAGGCCCAATTGTGACGGTTGTGTTATTGGGTTGGCTCGGGTCGAAGCCCAAGCATTTGAGGAGGTATATTGAGTTGTATAACGCTAGGGGCATTCACGCTGTAACATTTGTTGCTTCTGTGAGAGATGTGCTTTCGTTCGATTTAGGGAAGAAATTAGAGGAGCGGATTGCTGTGCTGGCAAATGAGCTTTCTTTGTGGTTGTCGGAATCAGACAAGGATGGCCGTGAAAGATGTTTGGTTTTTCACACCTTCAGTAATACTGGCTGGCTTGCGTAGGTTGATTTATCGGACTTAAAAAACTTGATTGTGCTGCGGTTTTTTGTTATTTAAGCTGTTTTCTTTTTTGTTATTTGTTTATATGCAGTTATGGTGCAATTCTAGAGAATTTGAAAAGCAGAGAGGATTTGTTGCAAAAGATCAAGGGATGTATTGTTGATTCAGGTGGTGACCCCAATATAAGCCCCAAGGTTATTTGGTTTTCCCTCACCCCACCATCACTTAAGTGTTTACTCCAAAATGATCATCCTTTGCATTTTCGTGTCATTGGTTACTTTGTACAGAATGTCTGAATTCTGCTTTCTCTCTCCGTGTTTGTGTCTCCCTGTGTTGTCTCTGTTTATGGTTTTTTTTTCCAGTTCATTAGTAATTTAGTATGGCAATTGTTGTTATGACACTGAGTCAAATGATGCTTGAGTACTAGCTGCTTTTAATTCCGGGATCATGCTCTTCACTCACATTTTAACTAGCTATAGAAATGACTATCCTTAATATGAAAGGATGTGCTGCATCCTGTGGTCATCTTTTTGGGGCTGTGTATCTGCACACTATCTTCCCAGTAGAAACCACAGATACTCCTTACTGCTATAACAATGAGAATTATGCATGCGAATTTATGATATCATTAGCAGTAGGGGCATTTACCTTTTGTGAACCGCATACCCGGTCGTTAGTCTTATCTATTAGCGTTTTAGACTATGCGTCCACAAATGTATTTTAATTTCCTGTGTTTGTTTTTTCATATATCTCTTTGATATGTCATGNCCACACACACACACAAAAACAAACTAAAAATGACAATATCCATTGTCAAATTTATTTCTGTTGTCATTGAAGAAATAAAGAAGTAAAGATGCAAGCTGACATAGTATCTGTGGAGGGATTGATTTGATATGACTCTTATTCCTATGTGTCAAGTTTAGCCTCAGGTAAATGTATTGCTAGGAAGGAAATTTTTCATGCCTATTGTTAGCTACTGACAATTTTCCTTTAATCATGAATTTATTATATTAAGCTATACCTACTACCAATTTCGAAGAATTTAACAAACAGAGAGGTGAAAGGCAAGGGGATGAGTTTGGAATGTGTTTCAAACTGTTGAACGGCTTTAGATAGTTATTCTGTAAATTTTCAGTTTCTAAATGATATTTCGTATCATAACCTCTTGTGAGGAGTAGCAGAACGCAGAGCTCTTAAATGTTCTTTGAGATTCGATGTCCCTATTTGCCGTTGAGGGTTTGACATTGTCTTTTTTCGACAGATCGAGCCTTTTGCTGGAAGTTTTGTCACAACTTCAGGAAATTCTATGCATATATTGCTTCTTTTTTTTTTTTTTTTTTTTTTTTTTTGTGGGGGAATTCTGTTTGCCATTTTGGAAGATTTTTGGTCTCTTGGTGCGCTTTTTCGTTCCTCCTTAATAAGAAAATGTGCCACATTATTTCCTGTTTTGTTGTATACTGTTGATTCTGTTTCTACAAAATTGGGTAAAATGGAATGTCGTATGGTAAATCAATCTTAAACCTGGCAGGTCTGGGCAGCAGGATTTACTACAGCCCTGCTGCAGAAGCGTAGCTCTTCTGTATATCCTTCAGTGGAAGCTGGAGAAGGAATTGAAGTGCAAAGTGGGTTAACCTCAGGAAACATTCAAGGGAAAGAACCCATGTTGATGGAAACCTTGCTTTTAGCTGCATTTGAGAAGCTTTTCTCATTTCTTCTTAATTTGCCTGATGTTAATGCGTAAGTACTTCAACATGTTTTTGTTCTTCTTTGCTCGCGGTATTTAGCTTTTGATTAGAAGGTACAGAAGTAAAATTTAGCTTCTTTTAATTATTGGTTGTCTCCAATGCACAGGCGGCTGAGGAAGATAATTTCTGCCCTTGTCAAGAACCAGCCTTCTTGTCCGCAGCTTTATCTTTACAGTTCTGCTGACAAGGTCATTCCAATTCAGTCGGTTGAGTTTTTTATTGAAGAGCAGAGAAAAAGTGGGAGAAAGGTTCACTCTTTCAACTTTGGCTCATCTCCCCATGTAGACCATTACCGGACTTTCCCAGACATTTATGTATCTGTACTACAGAAATTTCTCGAAGAATCTATGCTCGTTCCAAATGGAGTGTACCAAGTAGAAAGCCAGGTCAATGGATCATAGGCGTTGAAAGTGGTTATTGTCCCTCCTAGTTCCTTGTTGAATTGCTTTAATTTGTGGCAATGCATCGTAAGAGTAGCAACTTAGTCTCGTGCGAAGTGGATTTCAATTGCTACTCGGGCAGTAACATTATGCATGCCTTTAAATTAATCAATGAGGCAAAAGTAAGGCTTACTGCAGCCGAACTGATGGTGATTGCCATTGTCATTGGTCCAAAGTAGATAATACAACTCCAATCGACTGGAGCCAATGTTCTAAAAAGATGAGTATGTCCATATTTTCCTTATCTGTGTTTCAGAAATGAGCATGTAGTGATTGTCCTCTGCCTAATCTCTATACATATTAGTATGTAGTAGGCATGTTGCTACTTTCACATTTGACATTGTTTGACTTAGGTAGGGATATCCATCCTTGGATTTAATATTTGTGTAAATGAATTCTGTTCTATCAAATTCCACATATCTTCTTTCATAAAAGAAGAAGAATATATCCATGTATCTTAGAACCTATCCTGGAGCATTCTTATAAGGCAATGTTGTTTCCTTTTTTATTTTTCTTCCCTTTAATTTTTGGGTAAACCTCTTTAGGTAGTTCTGAAGCAAACTCATAAAATTTCCAATATATTCCCGAAGTCTAGCCTATGAGACAAGTTCTGGTGCATTTTGCAGGATTGGTTGTAATAGTAGCTAAGAGTTCCAAGAAAAATGTTCATAAGGGGAACCGAGTAGACTAAAACTATGTTTGGATCATTGTTAGCTATCGTTTTATAATGTATTGTATTATATTGTATTGTATCGTATCGTATCGTTTTATCGATACAACGTTTGAATAGATTATATTGTTTGCTGTTGTTAAAAAATATTTTTGTTATTTGTTTTGACTGTATCGTACTGTAACTGATAAGTTTACTAAAATACCTGCAATTGTTTTAAATAAAATTTATCAAGAATTAGACATAAAAATAATTTGAGAAAACCTATTTCTACTAATTTATCATTAATTACGTAGCTTGGAAACAAGAGCAAAAATCCGAAAAAAGGCTAACTAATAATTAGCAAAAAAAAAGAATGAAAACGATGGAAAGAGACAAAGAATTGATCGGAGACTTGGATAAAAAGAACGGGGCGAACCAACTCTAGAAAAGATGGAAGAAGATAAAGTAGGTCAATAGGTTGGAGATTTGGAGTTGAAATTTAAAAAATGTTAAGGATAAAATAGAATTATGGAGTAATAAGTAAGGGCATAATTGAAAAAGAAAATAGGAAACGATCCTACCACATCAAATCGATTGTTTAAAAAAATGGGCTTTTGGTTATTTCGGGACAATGGATTTAACAATACGATACAATCAATTTTAAATAAACAATCAAAACAACATTGTTTTGGGATAACAATACAATACGATACAACGGGTAACAATCATCCAAACAAGCTGTAAGTGGGTGTTTGGGCAGAAGAATTGTGAAATTTCGAAAAAAAAAGTAAAAAAAGAAAAAGAGAAAAGAAGAAGTGAAAATAGTATTTGAAAATTAGAGTTGTGTTGGGACATGAATACAATTTGGAGATGTTTTTAAATTTGTGAGTAATTTGAAGTGAAAATTTTGAAAAATAGTTTCTTGGAGTTTTTCAAATTCTAAAAAATTGGGAAATCCAACTTCAAGTGAAATTTAATTTTTTTTTGCCTAACAGTGATAAATAAAAAAAATTGAATATTATTTATGGCCAAATGGGCCTTAAGTTAATAGCTACTGTATTCACTATTTATTTGACAACGGCTTATTTAAGACACTTGACAGGTCGTTTTACTCGGAGACGTGTTGTGTAATGATTGTAACGGAGAGATTCTAATGCAAAAATTAGAGTCCGTTTGGAAAGCCACCTGAGAATTGGATTTGTATTTAATTGGATGTAATTATATAATTTTGCATATTAATTTAGCCAAATAATTACTTGGTTAACATGAAATTGAATGTAATTAGAGATATGTAATTACACTCTCCAATTCTGGGGAGGTGATAATTGGTGGTAGTTACACTGTGTAATTACAAGGTTACCTTTTAATTTTATTCTTTTTTTTTATTTTATTTTTTTTCTTTATAACTTTTTGTTTCCATTATTTATTTATTTATTTATTTTATTTACTTCTTAATTTCTTTTTAAATTTTAAAATATATTTTCTTTGTACATTATTTTTTTTATTTCTCTATCTTTACTTCTTGTGATTCCATGTAATTGCTTGTATATTTTATTATTTATTTGTTTTATTTTTTTAATTTAGCGTAACCGCGTTATTATTCTATTTTTTCAAACTACACCTCCTAATATTAAAAATAATGAGTCATTAACAAATTTGGCATTTAATGAGTGATGTCATTAAAGTAGAATTTCATTGTTGAATGACCTAATCTTAAGTTGTATTGGAACTTATTTTTATTAAGTTGGAATTTGACATATGTTAAAGTTTTTTTTTTTGGAATTTTGAAATTGTGTTATATTTATGGTTCTAATTTACTTATTTTCGTAGTATTGACTTATTATTTCACATTGCGTGCTGTTCATTTTTTAGTTAGATTGATAGATTAGTTTTTCAAATATTCGCATAATGTTATGACATTATATTTATAAATATTAATTTATTTTTATCAAAACTTGCATTCCATGATGTTCTTATAAAAAGTATATTTTTAGCTTTTATAATTAATTAAACTAAATATAATTAATTTAGAAAATATATATCAATTATTTTTATAATATTATTGTGAGCACGTGATTTTTGTTTTGCGCAACAGTCGCTCCAAAAGAATAAAAATTGGTCCTGCTGTACAATTTTGGATTTCTGTACGGCACTTTGTTGATTTATTTGTGACTTTTGCCCGTTTTTATTTATTTATTTATTTATTTAAAACAAAATACAAAAAATGTGTGGGTCATGCATAATTCGAACCGTAATCCGGTCGTTAAATAGAAAATCATAAATAGGCATCCTCGTCCGTGATTTTGATTTGTTTGATTTTACCTGTTTTGAAATATTTTAGTGTGTGTGCAAATAATTGTATTGAGTGTGTATTTAATTTTTAATTTGATTTTTGCTTAGTTTTTGTTTTTAAAATAAAAAAAAAAGAAGAAAAAAAGATCAGCAATTATTCCGGATTGGGCCAATTTATTAAAATTGGCCCAAACAAACAACGTTCAAACCAGGCCTACCCGGCCCGCACCAGCTGATACCCAGGGTGTCCAAACGACGCCGTTTTGGTCCAAACTGATCTGGGCCGTTGATCTCAGATTGATCAACGGCCAAGATCACCTCCCCATAACCCACTAATGGCCCCGACCCGTTTCCACCCAGATCGACCCAAACCCTCTAAAAAATGAAACGACACTGTTTCTTTCGAGCTGAAGGATCCTGGCCCTTCATCACATCTCATCCAACGGTCAGGATCCGCCTACCCACTAACTATATAAGCTCATAATCTTACCCTGCCCCCCCTATCCGAAC